AGAACAGTAGAAATTTCAGACAGATCAGCATTATCATTGAGTCATGGAGTAGCTTGGGTTGGAAGGGGCCCTCAAAGGTCATCCAGGCAACCCCCCTTGTGAGGGTACCCAAACCCACCACAATGCAGTCTTGGTGAATGTGGGATCTAACAGCAATTGCTCTGTCAAAAGTTATGTCCTGACAACTGAGACTGAAGTCAGCTTCTGGACCAGTTAATATTGAGTCATTTATGCATTATGAAACAGTTCTCATTCCAGTAAAAGTGAGAGACCATAGCTAAGGGGATGCTAATTCCCTCAAGGAAGACATAGGTGAATTAATTCTGCTAAAGCTCTGAGATAGCAAATAGTGAGCAAATGGATCCAAATATTTTCTGTTCATCCTGCTCTTACCTGATCAAAATTAAGAGAAAGATCTGAGAAGGGAGAATGAAAAAAAAATAGATATTAATGGGTTTTATTGGGAAAAATAATTTCAATATATCTGTAGAAGAAACCAGAGAAAACAGAACAAGACAAATTTGCAGAAGGCAGTTGAGAAACCAAAGTCTAAATGCATACAGTCAAATTGCTTGACAAAGTTGATCAGGAGAATACTTTGAAAGGTACCTAGATGTGATAGAAAAGATCTGGCTTTCAGGAAAATAATACTTGACTGCCGTATGGTCTCAAAAAAGTAAAAAAGCCCAACCATCCTTCACACATTCATTTTTATGTTAAATTTGAACAAATAATAGAATTTTTATCATTATATTAATCAAAGTATAACAAGTTTAAGTTCAAATACGATGAAAATAATAGAAATTCTGTTTTTCCACATTAAAAGTTTCCCATTATTTTAATGAAAATTTACATTTTCTTATCAACTAAATTTAGGTAAATATATAAGTTAAATATAACTTATTTTAAAAAAGAAAAGTAATACATTTTATTTTTTTTTTAAAAGCAAGTCTTAAAAAATCCAAGTTCTACAGTGTAAAATACGTAACAGTCCTTGTTGTGAGCACAAATGAGATTTTGTATTTATGCTCTTTATTTATCCTATTGCTGAAAACTATTTCAGCTCTTAATTTCACCGATTTTCTTTAGACATCTAGGCAAAGCCCTAGAATTGCTCTACCAGAGGCAATTTCCAGAGAAAGGAAAATCAATAGTTGGCCCTTACTGCTCTTTTTTGCTTCATTTTGTGAGGTGAATAGCAAGAGAGAACAGTGACTTTTATAGGCTACAAACACAATATTCCAGCAGTGGCTTCAGCAGAACGTGCCTGACCTGCCCCTTACCCCTGTTGTCCCCGTCGCTGGTGTCTGTGTCACAGCCTTCTCTTCGAGTCCTCTCACCATTTTGCCCTGGTCTCTGCCCAGAGTTGCTGTGTGGCAATTTCTGTCCTCAGAGCAAGCATAACCAGTCTAGACAGAAGTGCTGCTACCTTTTTTCTCAGATTTCCTCAAATGTTTCAGAGCATGTTATCTTATATTGACCATTTCTATGACCAAAATGTCAATTTTAAATGTCTCATTTCATATACCTGAGTCCCTGTCATGGAGATGCACCAGTTATTCACTGCCACGCTTTCCTGAGCTGGTTAATCCCTACCAAGGGTGGTTTTGCTTCTCATTCCCTGCCTGAGTATCATTGCTGCTCACAGTCCTCTGGAAATAATTCCTGGTAGAGACCATACTTCATTTCTTCCTCTGGAGTAAATTGCCCTCGATACCATTGTTTTCAGATGTTTTCATTTGCTGTTGTCACTGTGCTGTAAAGTTTTTCTGGAGTGATTTTTTGTAAAGAGCTGCTTAGTCACACAAGATCTCTGGGAGATGACTAACCTGTGCTTAGCTGCTCCATTATGCCAATTTTATGAGATATGAGCCACTTTAGTTCAGTTTTTCTCAGCAGACAAGGAACAACACAAACCTGTACGAGCCCAGGACGATATGGGAATTACATGGCACAACAGCAGATGCAGAGCACACCCTGGTGCTCAGGGCAGCCAGACCTGCTGGTCAGATTTCAACACAAGCTTCTTGAAGAACTGAGGGCATCCTGATGGCTGATGAATCCCCATGACCCGGGGGATGGAGGTGAGAATGAGAAACAAGCACTTCCATGTGATCTTACTGCTGCACAGAGATGGCTTTTTTGTGGTCATGACCACCAGACTGCTGGGGAAAACACACTTTTTTACTGCTTACAGAAGGTCTGTATTTTCTGAGACAGCTTGACAAAGCCCAGGATCCTACAGGCAAGTAAGCAGCCTAAAACACCTTTTATACTCATGTGAAAGGAGTCCAAGAGCTGTCTCAAACACAGAGGAAGACTCTTCAGCTGTAACTCTGGATTTCAAACAATCTAGCCAAAATATGACAGACACAGATATCCAATATGCCACTGATAATCTTACCAATACTTTTATGCCTAAACAGAACACTTAAAAATGAAAAGATTATTTTCTCTCTCTTGCTGGGTTTGGGTAGATTTCACCTTACAGCTGTTTATATAAATGTGAAATAGTAATCTGGACAGCAGTATAAATTATGATGTTTATTTTTGGGATGCCCCTTTGTATTAGGGCCCTCCTACGTCCTGAGACACATACAGGAACACTTCTGCTCAGGGACTGACTGTGGGATGGAGTAAAAATCACTACAAGGTGCAGCAATGAATATTAAATAGTTCCATAAAGATTATTTGTGAGTTTTGGTGGGTCTGTGGCAGCAAGTGAATGGCTACAAATTTTTACTGTAAAAGAAATAAGAAAGCTTATTCTCTGGTTGAAGGTACCTGGTAAAAATGTATAAAAAGCTACTTTCCAAGAAAAATCCTTTGGAAAAATAATGGATTCTTTACAGAAGCTCCATTTATTTATTCACAGTCTTGACGTTTTTTTAGGCAGAGTTATAAATTCATAACAGTTTTCCTGAGTGCTGAGATTTTGCATTTGGGAATATGAGTGAAATGCAAGATGTTCATAGTCACAATTATCATTGTATATTTATAAGTAGGGCTCAGAGTTGTGACATCATTTGCATATAAAATCGAACATATTTGTGTATTCCTTATATATTTATTGATAGCATGTCCCTATTCTTCATTCAAATGCATTTTAATGTTGGCTGACAATTTCTACCACAAATTATCCCCTATGAAATTTGCAGTTTCTGATCAAATTTTGAGAACAAAATTACTGAATTTGTGCTGTGTATTAATATTAGGTATGATACAATTTACATGCAAACAAACATTTAAGTTAATATTAAAGGAAAGCAAGCAAAAAACTAGATGCAAAATCTGGATGATAAGTCACAAAAGTGCAATATATTTAAGTTCACAGGGAGGGTAAAGGACTAGGAGAATAGTGGATAGAAGACATTATTCAGATTTTCAAGGTATTGTTCTTTTTAACTGCTATTCTATGGCGTTTTACAACTGCCTCAGCTTTTTCCAGTCAGTCAGGGATGGGATAAGCAATTACTAACTCCCTAGAAGAGATTTCTCAGCCATAGCTGCCTGACACTACTCCTATATGCTCTGAAGCCAGAGGACCATGGGCATTGGAAAAGGTCATATAACAGTGAAAGAGAGAGAATTACTCTGCCCATTTTCTCTCAGTGAGTTATTCTGAGTCCCACAACCTGCCGTTTGCTGGACCTTCCATAACCCTAACACAGAATGAATAAATTCTTCGTGTGAGTGCCATGGCATAGAGTGACTTTTCAACACTGTTACAAAGACAAATAAATAGATAATGTATGCAACTGAAAATACAAGAATTGTCCACATAAGACTGTTGGAGGGATAAAGCATTAACATTATTGAAATTACTTTGTTAGTAATTTGTTTGGTTTATTCATATCAAAAAATTAATGCAGTTAAAAATACAGGATTTTTAAATTATCTAATCCAACCTGCCTGTGTAAATAATATACATACTATATGTTTCATGTCCCAGAACTGTAAAGATAATTTAAAATTCTCAGGCTGCAGATCAATGCTTTGTTTTATTTGTAAATATTTTTATTTTATTCAGTAAAAGTAATTATTTTCTAAATCTGTAAATCTATCAAGTGTGAGAGCCAATGAGCAGTATCTAACACATACATACCCTACTGAATAATTCTCTGGCATCTTCTTTCTAAAAATGTAATAAAGTAATTTATTACAAAGTTCCATTTGTTTGGTAAACAGAAATAGCTTTATATAAGTCTGTCACTGAAAATGAGAAAGGTCTATTGGAATGAACACCATTTTGAAAACAGTGATGAAATGGAATTAGAGGTAATTACATTTCAGCTAATCTGAATAGACAGCACATCTACACAAAAAATTCAGAGCAAATAACTTCTGTTCATCTTGTGACTGATCTTTCCTTTCTTCACTGTCAGCCTAGCATGCTAAAGCAAACTTTTAAAAAATTAGAACAGATAGTTTGAATTATCCAAATTCATCTTGCAAAAAAGGTCAAAGTCATGTTGATAAGGTGTCATTGTGGTCTGGGATTGTTCTAAGGCTGTGTTTACACATAGCCCCACCCATGCTGACTGCAGACCTGGACATCTGGGGGTCCCCAGGGCAGACACCCCGGTATCGAGCTACCAAGACACAGAGTTCCTTGGATTGAGCATGGGCAGGACCACACTAAACACAACCCAAGTCTGAGAGTGAGTTAGTTGCAAGACTACATCTTCCCATGGGAATTGAGGAGCTTAGAACTCTTTTAATTTATTACTCTCCAAACAACACCTGGAGCCATACCCAAATGCAAAAATGTCCTATTTCCTTGGAAAGAGCCTTACTCTTTTATAATCACTACCAAAAGGAAAACTGCCATGGTGTGTATTCATTTCTAATTATAAACTTATTGCTTACAAATAGCTATTTTTAACAGAAAAACCCCCTCCTTTCACACACATTTCCAGAAGTAGGAAGTTACACAGGAATTAAAGAGCATTATTCTATTTTCCACAAACCTGGTATGTAATTAAGGAAAGACATTTTACCTTCATATGCCTCATATTATTCTTCCACAAATGGAAATAAAGACACTCTTCTTTTCTTTGTAGAATCCTTTAAAATCTTGCAGCAAAATATTCTCGAAAAGAGCCTGTTACTCCTGAACTGGTTGTTCTGCACTGTTTTCTGTCAATGCTGCATGTGTTTGCGACAGTAAACTGCAAGGAAGCTCTTAAATCAGTGACTCCAGTCCCCTGCTTGAATTGCATAATTACTGTATCATTTTTTTCCAGAAGACAATTGAGTTTTATCTTGAAACTACTTAGATGCCTGGTATTGAAAGTGTCATTAATTGCATGCAATGATGATAAGGAAATCTTTTTATTATTTTGAGCCTAAAAGCATTTCTGCTCAGTATACATCGGTTTTGAAGTTTACGAAGGGTTGTTTTCCAGGATAGTTTTTTTCTCTTCCTCCCTTCTGTTGTAGTACTGTGCTTTGGTTTAAATATCTCTTCATGTAATGTGCTTGTCCCTTATTATATGCCACATTTTCCTATGGAACTGCAAAGGAGTGCACACAGGGGGGAACATGGGTTTGCAGAACAGCAGAAGTCTCACAAAAAGCATTAACACTTCTCTCAAGAACCATTAGTATTTTTTTACCTGCACTGAACTTCAGTCTGCCATGCAGGTAAAACAGACAAGTAGCCTCTGCTGGAAATATCCCTTTCAAAACATCTGAGGAAAGCTCTTACTTTTTTATGTCCACTTCCCCATGGTATCTCAGAAGATACCTGTGCTCACATAACACCATTTCTCTGCCTCATTCAACTGATGAATTCCTTATTAATGCAGAAATTCTTAAGCACATGGTCTTTCATTTTATACACCATTAAATTTAATTCCACTTCCATTACTGCAGTCTCCAATATCATGCTCTTCTTCCTAGCCTGCCTAGCTGCTGGGAAAGTGATGATAGCAGTGAGTTCTATCATAGCATACTTGCTTTTGAGCTAAGACTGTTGATAAAAATACTAGTAAATTAATCTCATGAGCAATTTTTGAGGATCCTCATTTTTACCTTTCCCTGGTGACTTACCATCTGGAGAACACAATTTTCATTTTGTCTTTGTGTACTTCCCTACCCACCTTAAAGTAGTTACACTAATGCATTAACCACATGACAATTAGCTGTCTTGTTCTTCAGTCTCACTATGATTTTCTTAATGTAAAATGCCAACTTTTAAATGCCAATATTTAATTTTAAAAATAATTTTAATTTTTAAAGAAAATTAGTAATATTTTGACAGAACTTAACTTTGACAAATCCATATTGCATTTATTTATTTACCCCTGTGTCTTTTGAAATTGTTTCTATCAAAATTTGTTTCAAAGCTGTACAATCAAATTCATTCTTCAAATTTAAACACCTGAATTGGGCTTCCAAATTTTAATTAATTAGTTCTCCTAAATATGGGTAGATTCCCACCATGCAGAGGAAAAAAGAAGACATTTTAGAAATTCTTCTGAGGACAAGCTTGTCTGCATTACTAGGGTATTAATTAAAACACAGACTAAAAATCTTCAAATATAATTTAAAAATTGTAAGAAAATTTTTTTTGTAATTTTATATCTTTGATTTGTTTTTTATCTTCCCACCATTCTTAAATTTGTATTGGCTTTTTTTTTCTTACAGTTTTCCCCCATGTAAGAGTGAAATTCATCTCAATTAATCTTAATTACTAGATTAATTTGTTACTTAACCAGTATGTAGTTCCAAAGGCAGTGGCTCCAAATTCACTTGCAGTTAAAAAGAGAGCCCAGATCTTCTCAAGGTAGCCACCTTAAAGCACTGTTCAAGATAGGTGATATTAATTAAATTTTGTTGTAACATATTTCCTTCCACTGGCTACACAAGAAACTAGACAATTATACTGAAATTAGATGCTTAAAGTTTAAACTGTTAACATTTCAAATGGTTTAAATTAGGCAAGATTAATCCCACCCTAAAATATTGGTTTTTCTTTTTATATTACCTTGTTCTTCATCAGATTAACTTCCTAAGATTTATTTTTACTATCTTGGCTGTCTGTTAAGTTCCTTTGTATTAGGTGTCTCTCCTACTTATCATATAATTTTTCTATTTATTGCTATTGAAGTAGCTGTTATTCACCCATGCTTGTCATAAAGTGAGACAATCCCTAATATTAACACATATATTGAAGTATCTTTGTTCCTGCTAGCTTTTCCCTTGTTCTCTGCTCTAATTTTCACTTTTGTTCATCCATGTTTTAATTTTTTGTGTGGAAATAGACGAGCGGTTTAGTACATTTGTGCTGTAGTCCAGCACTCTATAATTTCTGTCAGAATTACAAAAAATCCATAAAAAGTATTATAAGTATTCAAAAAATCATTATACTGGCTCAAAAAAATAAACCAGCTTCTATTTAAATTGAAGATATTAATTAAAAATAAGTTTAAAGACTCATTTGCCTTGTGCTTTTTAAGTCTTAGAGAATTACAATCCAATGACTTTTCTCCCCAGCCATATGGAAAATGTGAAATATTCATAAATGCCAAAAAGAAAAAGAGAGAGAGATAAAGCAGTGGAGGTACTACAGAATAGCATGAGCACCAAAGTTAAAGAAATAAATTTCTTGTTTCATGTTAATATACTGAATGATGGCAACAATGTTTGAGAATATCGTTACTTAGTTTTCCCTGTCTCTTTCTGTGGATGATAATTCTGTGAAATAATCTCTATATATTTCTGTGAGTTCTTAAATTAGCCACTAGATTCATTTTGACTGGTTTAAGGCATACTACATTTCAGAGCACCTTAGTCCAGCTTCTAGATATTTCCCCACACATAAGCCTGTTTTCAGTTTTATTCCAAAGTAAATCTATTCTGCTGAGCTCCAGGTCCACTTGTTTGTTAAAGAGTTTGACACATTGACATCCTCTCTGAAAAATCCCATTGAAGTTTAGGGCTTCATGCAATTTTCATACATGTCTCAATCTCTTAAATCTTTTCAGAATGCTGGGAGCATGAATGTATCCAAGCTGGGTAATGAAGCAAGCCTTAGTAAATTCCCTTTAAGTGTCTGTCTTAATCCTGGTGATTGCTAAGAGAAGAACAGCAAAAAATTTTTGAAAAATGAGATGTGATTGTGGATTCTCTAAGAATGCAAGAAAAGATAACCTCACAGGTGGGTTAAGAGGCATGCATTTGTTCAGACAGGCACACCGAGGTGGGTGAGCCTGGCATCCTCCCTATGCCTTCAAAGAGATCTCATTAGGCATATTAGTTGTAGTTGTTATCTATTTCTGATACATAGCACCAGGAGCCTCAGCAAGAGAATATTGGTGGCCTCAGCACATGTCCAGCCTCAGTGGTCAGAGGACTGGAAATAATGACATTATTTGTGGGCAGGCACACGAAGATGGACCAACTGGGTCTGCAATTTGTCCATGTGCTCAGGGGTGAGTCCTGCTAAGGCGTCTGTATGGCTTCTGATAGCTGGGGGAGTTTGGGTGTTCTTTCACAATGATGAAGTTGTGCTGTATTCTTGTTGTGTTGTAGCTGTGTTGTTGGATTCTCAGACTCTCCAATAAGAAAGATAATTTCCATTAGTTTTCTTTAAATTATGAGCTGAGTATCAGAGACCTGGTGTACACACCAAATATGCCTAGAATAGACATCTCAAATTTTCAGCTAATGAAAAGACCTAACTGTCTTTCCAACTGGCATTTTCACTTACATTTGTCTCTCCTTTTAGCCTGCTTTTAGAGACTTGTGGAGAAAAGGAATATTAGTTCATTTCAGCTGCTTTGTTCAAGTGACAGCTCGAAAGGACAGCAGGCTAAATGACTCAGAAGTGTGAGAAGAATTTGAGTACAATTTATCATCTTGACACCCATTATATAATCTTTGTTTTGTGCTGTACATCAGAAACTGTCTCATTAAATAAATTTCCAATCATTTTATTATTTCCTTTACTTAAATCTATTTTTAAGAAATTCCTTTTTTAACACATAAAGATTTGTTTTTTGATGGATGTCTGGAGACAGCTCACAGGATTTTTATACACCTGTACCTCATATCCTGCATACAAAGCAGAGACACAAGCTTTAGAATTGCTGTCTTAGTGGTTTTTGTCAATTTTTGGCCTCCAACCTTTTTCAGATTTGAGCTCTGCTGGCAAGTTCATATGCATTTTACTCGCTCACATCTTTGTCTTTTGCCTCAATTTATCTTAGTATTGGTGACTGTGATACTTTGGTGCAATTTTTAGCTTTCCTTTTCTTTCCCTTTCAAGGTCAGCTTTTAGGAACCAAAGTGGCAGAGCTGAGGAGCAGCATTCTACCTCCCCATGCCTCTGAAGGTCACAGGGGGTACAGGCAGAAAAAAAAAACACATGAGGGATGCTTATGAATGACAGACCCAGATCTGAGACACCTGAAAACTTTTATCTATGCTGCTTGAACTGAATCAGATTGGGCATCAACTTTATCCACAACTAAACAAAAAGCTGAGTTTAATAAGAGCACTGCAGTGCTTTTAATGGAGGTTAAATATCTAAATGGAGACTGCAGTGACAGTCTAGCTAAGAAGGTGTAGAACAAGCCATTGCAAATCTTGACAAGAGACATAGAGATCAAAAACTTAAATATCCTAATGGTCTACAATGTCTATTCCATAAATGTTGTATAAATGCTTCTTTTTCAGTCTTATTTATTACACCATTTTTAAAAAGTTCATGGAAAAGAAAAATATATGTAAGTATATGATTCGCTACTCATTGGTATTTATTATCCTGTATTACATTTTTTTGCCTTAGTCTGACAAGCTCAAATATTATTTATAATTAACCCTAATTATTATGTATGCACCATTCAAAAAAAAAAAAAAAGTAAAAACAACCCCTGAAGACCTAACATAGGAAAGCTTTGTCATACTCATGTTTTTCATTGCAGCTTTGGAGTTTTTATAGAACTACATGTACCTCCTTTTGCAAAGGAATTTAACCCTGTCAGACTGGGTAGCAGGGCAGATTTGTCTGGGTTATATCTCATCCTCTGCATTGCAGAATGCAGAATGTGGACTGGCTATGGTAAGGTTTGTCACATGCAGTCTGAAACAGGCTTCAGTTCTAGGATCTTAAACTGCATATAAGATGCAACTGTTGTTCCAAAAGGCAGAATGAAAAATTTAGTGCCTAAATTTTTGACAAG